ACAAAGATCGGATCAATTGAAATACTGCGCGAAATGTTTGCGTTTTTATTACTGCAGTAAAGAGTGTCAGAAGAATGACTGGAAGTATCACAAGAATGAGTGTCCACTCTATAGACACGAATGCATTGAAACCCTTTTGAGTGATAACGACATACGGTTTTGGCTCCGACTCTACCTTTCGGTGCAAAACATCCCAAACTTTGCCACAAAAAAGTACCGATTGTTTGACGGATCGGATGTCAGTCTCAGAGACATCGAAGTGAAAGACATTATTGTGAACGAAAATGAGAGAAGAGATCAATTGGAGGACATTTATGGTATATTCAGAAGATTGGGTGTCGATTACGATCCCCGAGAAGTAGTTCATTGGTTTGCATCACAGAGAAAACAACTTAAACATGTATACGTTTTGAATGTGTAAATGTTTTACAAAAAACATACATATGTTCTATATTTGTTTATTGAAAAAACACTCCTATGTTTTGTTACAATAGTTTTTTAGTTCACTAGAGTGTGCTATATGTCTATCATCAATGACACTATGTTAGCACATGCGCACTGAACGGGACAGTTGCAAGTGGGCGCAAAATATGCATTCAAACAAAGGGAGTTACATGTGGTTGCAATGGTGTTGTGTTTATTAAATGACAATTAAAAACACTATAATGTGTTAACTTGTAATTACATTAAATTGATTTCCGAGGTATTTATATAATATATGAGCTGCAACTGTTCCGTTCGCTCATTAATAGCTATAATTTTATGTTTTGTTTTCAGTATATGGTATAAACACCACCACAAGTAGTCGATGCTTTGCTTGACCAGTTGACACAATACTTCAAGTAATATATAAATGTTTTATTATTAACCAAATTGTAACTGTTCCGTTCATTTGGTTATATTTAGGCATTGGCTTTGGTATTGACTATTATAAGAAATATAGTCTATTTGTCGATTGGAAGACTACTTAATCTCGATGTTTATATATTGTTGGCTAGTGTTTGTCAGTGATGAACGGAGCAGTTTCAATCACTAAACCAATTGTAATTAAACCCAATAGATTATCGACCGTTAAATTTGTATTCAAATAATGTTTAAAAAATAAATATCTACATGTTTTCAAATAAATATCTACATGTTTTCAAATAAATATCTACATGTTTTTAAATAAACATCTAAATGTTTTTCAATGAATGGCTATGTTTTATTTAGTACATACGTATGTTTTCAATTAAACGTTTGTATGTTCAGTATTAAACATACAAATGTTGTCAAAAATTTGATCAAAAACAGCACATTCGTATGTTTTTAAGGAATGCCTCAATGTTTAATTTTTCTCTGTGATTTATGGCAACTGTTCCGCAATTTCAGCTCAAATCTAACCTAAGGGTCGGTATTATTGGTCGCGGACTATACATACAGTACATAGTCCTCCGCCACAGCTGTCAGCCCAACAGTGCTTTCATATTCAACTGCAGAGGTATGAAAACCATATTTGTTTTACAATCATTTTAATTGTTATTCAATCACTCAATGATAGGACTGTCGAAGGAATTGCGGGCAATGAGACCAATAGCCGCCGGCGAAGAGATTACCGTCGCTTTGGTGCCATTGTTTCAAAAGCGTGCGGACAGACAACAGGCACTCAAAGCCTATTCAATAGTGTGTGAGTGCGACAAATGTGTCCACCATTTGGACCGTCGGGTCGATTACACACGTCTAACGCCGACAACATTTTTCCCGCACAATGTTTTCGGCAAACAATTGTTGAATTATTGGCGCCAATTGTCGCCCGATTTGGATGTAGTGTTTGGCCAATACTATCCGTTAAAGACAATGATTTTAATGCAATTCTTTATGCAATTATCCAAATGTCCGCTAATTTGCGAATCGGTTTCCAATGAATTTAATGCCATTTTAATGAAATCAATTGATGTGACTCTTCCTGATAGAAGTGATTTCAAGTTTGGATCAGTTATCTAACAATTTTGTCACTCATTTAATGGCATCAATAATGTATTAATTTTTGTGCGTATATTTGATTCAAACATTTGTTTAATTTTTTTAATTACTGACTGTTTTCTGACAACAAATTATTGCATTTAACGTGTATTTTATTAATCATTACTTTTACTGTTTATCTTAAATATACTTTTAATTCATTGTATTTCGTAAAACTAAACACAAAATATATTATTATTTAATTTTAATTATGGTTTAAATAAATGTTTAAAATAATGAGTGAATTTATATTTTAATTATGTTTTCAAACATTGATTTGCTTTTAAACATGAGTCTCATTGTTGGGTTTCAGCCATCGCTTCATATGAACAGACATTTTATGGATTATTTGAACAAATTGTTGGAAGAATTGGATGTGATTTATGACGACTATAATCCATACAAGACATCACATCTCATGTCATTAATTATGTGATAATTTTTTAATTTATAGTAATTAATAAATCAAATCAAGTATTTATTATTTTGATGAAAAATTTGGATAAAAAAGTTATAAATTTAGGATTTGTTTGAAATTTGCGCTCAAATTAAGGCCAATAATAAGCCATAGGTTTTGGACTAGGGTTGAAAATTCCTACTGGGAATTGTTTCCAAAGGAATGTTCCTAGGAATATTCCCTGGGAAAATTGGGAATATATATTTATTCCCTTTGGGAACATTCCCAATCACCCCCAATTGGGGGCAAAATGGGGGTGAAATGTGGGGGTG